GCCGCGAGAATGAGGCCTCTGCTTTAGAGCCTTCCACAAGAGTTGGACCACAACTCCCATCAGTGCCAGCTTCCCTGACCTCTGGAGAGTATCAGGATGGAGACTATTTTATTTATTTTGATTTGTCAATTGCTTACAAGATAATAGGTATTATACATAGGTATGAATACATGAAATGGGTACATATAAGAAAATAAAAGAAACAATAGGACAGGGACGGTAGGCACATTGGTGCGCTTATGCACGTCTCCTACAGACCTCTTACGAAAGGGCTGAGGTCAATAGTAAACAGTCTAAGGTTAAAGTCTTTGGGGTTTGGGGAAGAAACCACAGAGTCAGGTAGAGTATTCTACTACCTTTTGAAGTAATGCTATATGGATCAGTGGGTGTCAACAAATGCAGGTAGTCCTTGACTTAGGACAGTTCATTTAGTGACTGTTCAAAGTCGCAACGACACTTTAAAAAGTGAGTTATGACCATTTTTCACACCAAACGATTCTTGCAGCCTTCTCCCCCAGTCACAGGGTCAACATTCAGAGGCTTGGCAGCTGGTTCTGCGACCTTCTGACAAGCAAAGTGAACAGGGAAGCCAGATTCACTTAACAACCGTGTGACTAAGTTAATGCAATGATTCACTTAACAACTGGGGCAAGGAAAGTCATCCAATGGGGCAAAACTCTCTTAACAAATGTTTCACTTAGCAACATAAACATTGGGCTCAATTGCAGTTGTAACTCAAGGACTACCTGTACTCTTTAGGTGTTTTAGACTTCATCTCCCATTAGACCCAGCCAGCATGTCAGTAGCAATGGATAGTGGTAGTTTTAAACTTCTAGGTAAAGGTAAAGGTTCCCCTCGCACATGCATGCTAGTCGTTTCTGGTTCTAGGGGGCCGGTGCTCATCTCTGTTACAAAGCCGAAGAGCCAACGCTGTCCGAAGACGTCTCCGTGGTCATATGGCCAGCATGATTGAACGCACGGAACTCTGTTACCTTCCCACCAAAGTGGTCTCTATTTTTCTACTTCCATTTTTTTGCATGCTTTCGAACTGCTAGGTTGACAGAAGCTGGGACAAGTAACAGGAGCTCACTCCATTACGCAGCACTTGGGATTCGAACCGCCGAACTGCCGACCTTTCTGATCAACAAGCTCAGCATCTTAGCCACTGAGCCACCGCGTCCCCCTTTTACATTTCTCTGTGATTGACCTAATCAGGATAATCTCTATTGCCCTTAAATCCAGAAACGCTGCCTGCACAATTGATCTTTTGTGATCTCTACTTCATACTGTATTTTGGGGATTTTTCATAGGAGTGTGCCATGCAGATGACCTGGTGCCTAAAAGCCATCAATAGGACTTCCTCCTGGGAATAGAACAGAACAGAATAACAGAGTTGGAAGGGACCTTGGAGGTCTTCTAGTCCAACCCCCTCCCCTGCCTAGGCAGGAAACCCTACACCACTTCACACAAATGGTTATCCAACACCTTTTAAAAAAAAAACTTCCAGTATTGGAACATTCACGACTACTGGTGGTGTCATTCCACTGATTAATTGCTCTGTCAGGAAATTTCACCTTAAATAAGTAAGCTTATTTAGGATCAGAGACCTTTTTGCTAGTAAAGTTCAGCTCTGCTGCTATTTTAACAGATGCAGGGGACACAGAGGGTGCCTTCAGAAGATGGAGATGCAGTCAAAAATTACTTTAAAGCAGTTCTTCTCGATCTTGGCCACTTTAAGACATGTGGGCTTCCAACTCTACACCCTTGGTTTAGGTGAGCACTGAAAAGCCCCTTTCTCTCATTCCTCCCCCCCCCCCACCTTTGCTCTGGGGTGCAAGGAAGGGCCTTCGTGCCAAAGAACGTGGCCAGGCTGAGATGGAAGAAAAAAGCGTTTCATCCCATTTTAAAAAATTAAGATACCTGCTGTTAAAGTATTCACGTTCTCTGTGTTTCCCTTTTTTCCCCCATACTTCCTGCAGGGGTGTTGGTAGGAATGTGCGTGAAAAATGAAAAGGGTTCCTTTACCACCATGCAACAGAAGCATGGTTGTGGCTACTGTTGTGATGTTTTTCACACACGTATATTGTCTTCTCCGGCTGAGAGAAAGGGAAACCCTGAATAAGTTGGGTAGAGTGGAAGAGGTCCTCAGGAAGAGAGAGGTGAGAAGTTCAAAGAAGGGAAAGCAAATATGTCTCTCTGCCATCAGTTCAGCCATTTGTTTGCTGGGTCCAGGTCTTTCCTGGGGAGTTAAAATGGCCAAGGAGTTGACCCATAGTTACATCCGTGCTGTATGACTATGGAGCTTCTCAATCATCCAGGTCATGGTTGTCAAGGTGCTTTTTCCAAAAGGCAGTGGGACTTCCTTAGGTTTTTTTTCTTGGAAAACATCTCATTTTTTTATTTAAGAAGCTTCCTCAGTTCCGAGAAGTAAAATGTTAAAAAAAAAAAACCTAAGAAAGTCCCTCTGTCTTTTCGAAAAAGTACCTTTGGGACATCCATGCTGTAGCATTGACCTTTATGACAAAAGGGGTGGTGTCCTCAACCTTGAAAGAGGCAATGGTGCACCCCTTCCTTAAGAGGCCATCCTTGGACCCAATCATCTTTTAATGACCCCGTAATAATCCCTTGTGGGGTGGAGCCAGGGCAACTGAATGGAGCTGAGTGTTTAGTGGCTGGATGCCTTTCCTGTTGCCAATGCGGAGTTATATTCAGCAGATATATTCTCATCCTGCCCAGAGAGAGAATCATCTACCTGCTTCTACCTAGGATTGAACTCACGGCCTCCTGATCGTGAGGCAAGAGCTTTACCACTAGGTCACCTTACCACTTGATCCTTGGACCCAACCAATCTTTAACCTCTTTCTAGAAAAGATTGCTGAAATGGTGGTTGGTCTGCAACTGATGAGAACCCTGATGTACCAGAGTTTAGGGGGTAACTCTCCTTTTCCCCCCCAAATCTTCTGAGGAGAGATGCCTTTGTGGGTCTTTGGAATTCCAATTGTCTAAATACCATGAGGCAGGCTGTTCCAAAGGAAGCGGCTTCAAATAAGAAGCTGAACAATGTTGTCCCTACAGATTCCATTAGCGGTGGGATCATCAGACAGTCCTCTGTCCTAGATCTTGTTAAATTTGGGCAGATTCATGATGGAAGGTATGGTCTTGGAAGTCTTCTAGCTTTGGAGAACTTTAAAGGTGACAACAGGGTCACCTGAATTGTACCCGAGAACTACCTGGGCAGCTCCCTTAATATGGTATCATAAATACGGCCTGTCTTCGTAGACTGTATTATGATGCATGCTGAACCAATGAAGCTTTCAAATAGTCTTCAAGGACAGCCCATGTAGGGCAAACTCTAACAGGCCATTGATGAGCTGACAGTGATGTGACTGACAGCATATCGGGATGCACAGTTGTCGAAGAAGATACAATTCTGCAAGAGACTTTTCTGCCACACGAGTCCAGGAGCACACCTACGTTGTGGTGTCTCCTTTTCTTATCGGGTGCCTTTAATTTCTGCGGTTCACTATTTTGTGCCCCCCCCCTTTTTTTTGACCTTTGCATTAATATTTCTGGGCCTGAAAGGGAAGAGCAGCAAATTATGCTGTTTTACTGTTTCAAACGACAGGGTAATCTGCCTGGAGGACTTCAGAGATTGAGCAGAATTCATTTAAACCCAAATAAATAAAGTGGTATTACAATCAGAGAGGCAGCGCGAAACAGTCGCTGGGCTTGTCAGCTGGAAAGACTGCACGCAACAGGGTGAGATCCCATTACTTGCCCCGGCTCCTGCCCATCCAGCCGTTCAAAAGCATGCAAATGAGAGTAGATAAATAGGTACCACTTTGATGGGAAGACCAGCTGGCTGGTGCACATGCGTGCGCCGGAACCCAGAAGAGCAACAGGAGACGGGCTGGCATGTCCAGAGAGATGGTTCTGCGTGCTACTTCCGGCACACATGCCATAGTTTGGCCAACACTGATCTAGGCCAGGGGTCTCCAACCTTGGCAACTTTAAGTCTGGAGGACTTCAATTCCCAGAATTTTGGGAATTGAAGTCCTCCAGACTTAAAGTTGCCAAGGTTGGAGACCCCTGATCTAGGGTGTTGGCTATTCCTGCCAGTTGATTAGTATCGTCTGCAAATTTTGATGTTTCCTTTCTGTCCCCTCATCTAAGTCATTTATGAAGCTATTCTAACCCACCATCAAGGCAATTTCTTTCTTTTGCAATTTTGTGAGTCCCCTTGGCTGTCTTGGAAACTCCCCACTTAAACTGCCGGCTTCCCTTTGCCTTGTGATTGTCACCTGCCTTTTTTTTGTTTTCCTTTTTTTTTTCTATAAACAAAAACCGGAATTCGCCCCGCTTGCCTTGCCGTGTGATTGCAGTTCAAACGTACAAACGCCATCCCGTCGCCAGATACAATCGGGGTGAGGCGGAAAGACCTCATTATGCCGAGAGGTACTAACTATTTCGCTTCTCCAGAGGGCCTGGCCTGACCTCCTACTCTGTGTGTGTGTGTGTGTGTGTGTGTTTAAATTGACAGGGGAAGACATTAACAGGCTGGCGTCCACGTGCACGTTTGAAAGGGTCCCGCCCAGGAAAAAGCGATCAGCCTCTTTACTGGAAAGGGAAACTCTCTTTTTTCCGCCCCCTCCCCCCCAAAACGCTCCTCTCCCGTCCAACGCAAGACTCCGGGCCGGGTTTTGGATGCAACTCTTGAGTATAGTAGCCGAGGGCAGTGTCAGTGCCTTTTTTTTTTTCTTGTTGTGTTTCTGTTACACTTCGCCATCTTGTTACAAAGCCTTTTTCTCGTCTGGAAGCTTCGTAGAAGCTCGGCTTTGGCGGGCCATCGTTTTGGCCGGCGTTGCGGGTTTTCTATTTATTTTTATTTTTGGAAGGCGGGGGAAAGAAGATCCACCAGCCCAGCAAGATCCCACGGGGGGGGGGGGGGGGGGGGGGGGGGGGGAGAGGAGGGGCCTTTTTTTTTTTGCCCCGGAAGTTGTTTTTTTTTGGGGGGGGGGGGGGGGGGGGGGAAGGGGAACTTTGAAGTCTCCCAAGACTTTGGATCCTTCCCCGAGACGCCGCCTTCAAGCAATGAGCATTGAGACCTTGTTAGAAGCGGCCAGATTTCTGGAATGGCAAGCTCAGCAACAGAAAACACGTGGTAAGTGAGCGCGGGGGGGGGGGGGGGGCGGTGGAAGAAGAGGCACTACCACCCCCGGGAGGGTGTGCAAAAGAGCGTGCAAAATTCGGAATGAAAAAAAAAAGAGAGAAAAAGGATTGCGGCGCTGGGTGACAGAGGCAGCACCCCCCCTTTCTTAAATCCTCCTCCGTTTCCCAAAGGAAATTTGCTGCGGAAAGGAAGCGAACAAAGTTTTTGCAGCGCAAATTTGGCAAGGGCATCCTTTTCTTTCCAAGAAGCCCCAAACACGGGAAGGAAATCCGCGTGAATGCAGTGGGATTCGGGAAGTTGTCTCCCCCACCACACACACACACACACACACACACACACATACACCCGTGCAAAGCGCGCCTATGGATCGCTCGCGACCTGGGTGCACTTGGGTGGATGGGTGGGTTTTTTGGGGTGATTGGGTTTCGTTATGTTTTTTTTTTTTGCACGACGCCCCATTGCCTTCGTCGGAACTCGCTTCCGTGTTTAAAAAAAAAAAAAGCACGGTGGTGGATCGTGCCCGTTTTGGTGCGGGTTGGATCGAACGTGGGGATGGGGGGAAGAGTGTGGAGGCGCTTGATTTCCCTTTTGATCCTGAGAAGCGTGTTTTTGGAGGCTGTTTCTCAGCTGAGATGTTGTAATGAAAGAGAAGTCACCTGATTTGTCGTCAGTTTCCTATTTGGAAGTTTCTGCTCTGTCTCCTCTACCCCCCCCCTCAAGATTCCCTCCCCCCTTCCGGGAGATAGATAATAAATAGAGATTATATTTCGTTTTCATCGAAATTATGGGCAGGGAGACTAGAAAAGCGGGGTGTTTTCAAGGGAGGGGGCCGATTACGCAAGGGGCGACTGGGTGAGCCTCCTCGCCATTGTCTCTCCACACGTCTACTCTGAAGTAAAAGCGCCGATGATGACTTAATCGGGGGGTTGATTGCCGGGAAACACTGCACCGTCTTCTTTTAAAAAGGATCGCAGCTTCCGAACCGAGTCTTGTTTCGGATTCTCCTTGGGCTCTTTTCTTTTCTAAAAATTTGCTGACACATGCTAGCCGGAAAGTTTAAAAAAATAATAAAAAAAAATCGTTTCCTGCAGACTTTAACCAGCGGCTTTGGTTCCTTCCTTGCGGGCTCTCCCTTAAACAAACAGACATAAAAAAAATATCGATCTTTTCCAGCTTTGCAATGAGACGGAGTGGAGTGGGGGGGGGCCGAAATAACACCTTGGTCCATCTAATCGCTGAGTTAAAGCAGCCCCCCCAATAAAATTAACCTCGATTCATTAGGAAGGCTTTCCAATAGGTTCCCGCCTCCATCGCCAGGCAGCGCCCGGTTTCTTCTCCGCGTCCGAAAGCTGCTTTTTCTGTGCCCCCCGATTCCTTTTCTCCCCCCCCCCGGTTCCTTTCCCAGCTCCCCCCCCCCGCAAGTTTTAATCCCAACGCGTGGCAGACTGAAAGAGGCGGGGTGAGTTAAGATGTCATGTAGTTATGCGCCAAACGGGTGGGTGGATTGGAATCGACCTTCCCCGCAAGCCTAAATTAAAATAAATTGGAAAAAAAAGACAAAAAAAACAAGAGAAAGCTGTTGAGAGGGGAAGACCTCCCCGCTCCCCAGTTTTCCTTTCGGGTAGAGTGATGCATGTCCCTTCTCCAGCCCTCCCGATCTGCTGGATTTCTTTGGATCTGCTGGATTTCCTTGGAGGAGGAGGGTGGGGGGGAAACGACACACACATGCCTTTCACTCCCGTTTGGCGCTTCCCAGGGCGGTGGCGGAGAGGCAGTGCCTATTTCTCCCCCCCCTGTTTTCTCCCTCCCCTCCCTTTTATTTGCATGATGAAAATGACACGGGGGGGGGAAACAGGAGGAGGGAAATCATATGATAATACTTAATACTTGTTCCGCCTCTCTCTGTCCTCCCCCCCCCCCCCCCCCCCGCACGCGTGTCTAGTGAGACGCCTTTATGAGAAATGTGCTTCAAGAAGGCTCCGCTCGTTTGAATATGCTGGGGGATTTTTTGGGAAGGGTGGAAGGGAGGTGGGGAGAGAGAGAGAGAGAGAGAGAGAGAAAAAGCGCTGGTGGCGACGGGGCTGAAAGTAAAAATAAAAAGTGGGCGGGGCTTGAAGGCGAGATGCGGTAGCGCGTGGTCGGGATCTAAGGGCACAATGGAACGTTGGCGTCGCCTCTGTCTCAACCCCCCCACCCTTCCTTTCTCCCTCCTCCTTTTCGCCCCCCCCACCTCCAAGGTTTTGGAACGTTGCGTGTTTGCTCTACGTTCCAAACGCCTCCCATTGGCTGAGGGGAAGCGGATGACGTGTCGAGGCCCCGCCCCCGACCACGTGCGCTGGGGGACACATCCCTCTGGGGCGGCTGCTCCGGCCTTGCGAGGGTTGCGTGCCTGGAAAGGCGTGCGAGAGAGAGAGAGAGAGAGAGAGAGAGTGTGTGTGTGTGTTTGTGTGTCTGCGTGCATCCGCGAGGTGGAGGGAGGGAGAGAGAGAGAGAGAGAGAGAGAGAGAGAGAAAGAAATGTCTGAGGGAAGCGTGAATAAAGAAAAAAAAAGGCAGAGGGGGAGATGATCAGAATTACGACATAATGCTACAATGTGGGGCCCCCTCCCTTTCCCTTGGCATTCTTTTTTTTTATAAATCCTTTATGGGTTTTTCCGGCTTCTGGAACCGACCTCTCTCCGCATCCATGATCATCTTAGATCTATTTGTGTATTTGACAATTCAGGAAAGATTCCTGCCAGGGGGCAATGTATTTTTTATTTTATTTTTTGGAAAAAAAACGCCCTTTTACTGCAATCTGTCTATCATTATTATTCCAGCAAAGTATACGAAAATTGCTTCTGAGACCATCGTCCATTCCCCTTTTGAAATTGCCATATTTCTTGTTTTGTTTTGCTTACTTTTTGTGTTTTTAACGTTTATAAAGAAAACTGCAAAGCTGCTTAACAGGCTACTTCTCTACAATCCTAGTGGATTCTGGAAATAGTTGAAGAACAAGATTCCGCTGTTTGGTCCTGCAGTCCCCCTTGTTTACTTCTGAAAAAGAAAAGAAAAAGCTTAATATTTATACTGAATTTGCCCTGCCCCCCCTCCCCCCCCATTCTAATAACCTTCTGGCTTTCTCCTTATATAACAGCAAACATTCCTAATGATAGCATCATAAGTACAGGGAATCTCAGAGCAATGACATGTCTCCAGTACATAATTCTTGGCTTAACAATGGTTTGCTTAGTGACGATTCGAAGTTACAAAGGCACTGAAAAAAGTAACCAAGGACCCACACTACCTTCGCAGCATCCCCAGGGTCACATGATCAAAACTTGGGCCCTTGGCCATTGCTTTGTGTATATAATAGTTGCCGCATCCCAGATTTGTGTGATTGCCATTTGTGACCTTCCCAGCCAGCTTCCAACCAGCAGAGCTAGTGGAGGAAACTGGATTTGCTCAACAACTCTGTGATTCACTTAAAACACTTCGCTTATCAACAGACATTCTGGCTCCATTTATGTTTGGGAGGATGACCTGTACCCCATTTTAAATCTACATCTCAGGAGGAATTTAAAAAAACAACAACTAGGTGTTGCTGCTAAAAATAAAAGAGCAGCAATGGTTTGGATTGGGTTGGTCCTATTGTGTGACCACCAATCTAAAAGCATGTAAACATACTCAAAGTTGATCTGCTGGTTAATTGCACGGTTCAGTCAATGTTTATAAATAATATATCCCAGAGAATCAGGTGCAGGGGGGAAAAAAAGCAGGAGGGAGCTTGGATTATTTTGCATCTGATTTGCGAACTTGCCTCCAGGCATAAGATTTGAATTGACATGTTACTCTTAAGTTGGAATGAATATTGTTTGCTTTGGACCTAGAGCCAGGAATCTCAAAGCATTTTAACCTAATCCATCTCTGTTATGGGAAAATAGTGAGAATCTTTCCCTTTAAAAGTCATTTTCACCCACATCCAAACTGTTTCTATTGCCTGTAAGTTCTTATTAAGATTTTATTTGCAAGGAGTCCTTTTCTTGGCATGCAGTTCAGTGGATGTGTCAGACACTTGATGGTTCTTGTATGGCATATTAACTATATTTTCTTCCAGTTAGGGACACCCTAACTTGGTCAGCAAGATTTCTTCATAGGTCTCCTGGACCCTATTTCTATTCTTCTGGACTGTGGACCCAGCTTCTTGGGAATGTTTTCATGGATGTATAATATGAGGCTGGGATGTGGTCTTGGAGATGTTCTAGTTAACTCCCTGCTCATTGCAAGACTCCACTACAGCACCTCTGATAAATTGTCATCTAGCTTCTGTTTAAGCCTCTGAAAAAGAATCCACCACCTCCAGTCTGTCCCATTGCTGAACAATTTTTATGATTTATTTCAGATATCTGACTGAAATTGCTTTCTTCTAATTTACACCCATTGTGTCTTATCTTCTGAGATGACAATGAAGAATTCTACCTTGTCTTCCACATGATAACCCTTCAAATACTGCACAAGCCTGTTCTCACCACAGTTTTTCTCCTGCAAGCTAAGCATACCCAGAAATGAACTGTCCCTCATATTTTTTTTTTTCTTATGTGGTCTGATCTCTCTGGAAATGTTCCACTTTCTTGTTCTTTGGATTTCAACATCTTCATGTTATTCCCTTAAAATATGGTGTCCAGATTCAGGCCCGGTATTCTAAATGCTACCTGGCAGCTCAGAATAGAGAGGAATTGTAACTTTTCTTGATCTTAATACTTTTCTGTTGATCCAGAATAGAAATTCATTTCTTCTCCCTGTTGCATTACACTCTTGGCTATTGTTCAGTTGGTAACCCTCCAGAATATGTTAAATTTTTACATGGGCTACTCCTTACTACGTTGCCCATGTCCAATGCACATGCCTTTGATTTTTTTTACTCAGATAAAGGATTTTCATAGTCATCTCTACTGAAATTCATTTTGCTGGGCTTTTCCAGAACTCCATTCAGCACTCCCAATTTCATAAGAG